TATGGGCCATCGAAGAAAATATGATGGAGAATGTGCAAAGAAATTTATTGAGACGCATGAGAGCCTGCGTTAGAATGGACGGTGGACATTTTGAGCATCTCTTATAAAATTTATTTCATCCATCATTTCGCTCTTTTTAAAACGATAGAAAGCAATCCGCCTTTTTTAGGGCGACCAATACTTTCTTACAGGAATATCTCTCTTACGCAGAAAAGATCAAGATAGGAAGAGAAATGCAAAAAATATTGACTGGTTTGGAAAAAATTTATAATTATGTCCACCACGGGCGCAAAACTATGATTACATGAAATGTAAGAAGCATTAACTTGTTTGGAAGCAAAATCTATATCACGCAACATAATATGAAATAATTTGATATTGATTTTTTTCGAAACAGTTCAACATTTCTTTCATTTTATGTAATATCGTATAAAGTCGATTCTTTTTAGTAAATTGTAGCTAGTTCACTTGGCGCTACGAATGCTTCGAAACATAAATTTTTTGAAATATTAGTCAATTAATTACGCTTCGAGGTATTTGTAACACGTGAGTGCAGTGCACTCTGTTTCGAATTTGCTGCGGTCTGAGATTTCAATTACATAATCACGCGTCTTTAGGTTCAATTTATTGCACCAATTCATTAGTGCAGGAATAAAGAACAGACCTCGTGTTTCGACCGCGATAGTATAAACATAACCAATAAAATCGATCGATTGCTTCGTCGAGTTAACGACTCGTATTAGCGTTATGTATTCCTTTCTTCGAGTGAATTTTTAAGTGACGAATGTGTGTGTGATTAATCGACAGTAATTAATAATTAACTAATAAATTCGGTATTAAAGTCATTTGACTAGTGCTTGCTGTCGTTGAGTAAACGCGTCGTGTGTTAGTAAACAATCGTATGCTTCTTTCTTCGACTGATTTTCAGTCCACGAATAATTTGATGCATCGTAATTAACTAAGAGATTCGCTGTTAAAATCAGTCGATTGCAAACTATAGTCGAGTAAACGCGGCATGTGTTTCTTTTTTTCGAGTAATTTTCGGTCACTGAATGACTAATTGGCAATGATTAATAATTATGTACCATCGGTAACAAAACGGACACTAAATTGATGGAGATACAGTAGTAAAGTTCTCGATTTCTTCAAATAATTGAATAGTTTGTATATAAATCGAGCGTGCATGTGAACATGTCGAAGTGATACGTTTTTAAAGAAACGAATTAATTATTTGCTGATTAATTATTCGATCTGTATGCATTCTGTGTCAGTGAAAATGTGTGATACCTAAATTAAATTTATAAGAGCAATGGAAGTTTAATTAACATAAACATTTGTTTGGAGCTGTACGTAATCCTTTGAAATTGAAGTTTTTCTCTACAGCAACGTAAAGTCATCGAACTTTTACAAGGTTTATTTTGTGTTTGTGTGTGTGTGTATTTGTGTCTGT